TTGCCAGGGAGCACCACAGGAATAGTCCGCATTGCGGGTACAGGAGCGCCTCCATTTTGAGAGCGCGGTACCTATGCCTTGGGATTTCCTTAGGTACCAAAAGCTTTTCGTTGGTCAAGCTCGGCTTGTGTAGTGACCGGGGGCCCGACTACATAGACGCCTAACGATTGAGTGATCGCGCTTTCGCTTCAGTAGCGGCATCCGCCGAGTGAAGCCGTATTTCACACGAGGGTCAAGAACTGGACGTGTATACGAGCGCATGAGAGCCACCCTGTCAGCAGCCTCCAATTGCTGCTCTTATGCCTCGTCGAGGTGATTGATAATAATACCACTTCCCCTGGAAGTCGAGAGTTCAGGAAACGGACACAGTCTTTGCAAGGCTCGAGCTGGGTTCACGTCCCACTCTTGAAAAAGGAGCATCCGACTCATGGTCGACTTTCTTTGAATCCCCGACGAAGAAATCATCTTCGTGGCGAAAGCGGTGTGTGGCGCCCGGTTGCCGAGGGCTTGAAATGTGCTCCCCGTGTAGCCGCGGACGTACTACCCGAAGATGCACCGTGCAGAAGGCGAAAAAGGGCTCTGCCCAGGGCGCCGTTGGTACCAGCGAGGCTAAGTGTTCTTCGTGTCATAGACGCAGGGCTTATTACGCAAGGAATGCGTGAAGAAGATTCTGAGGACGTTAAGATATCTATGACATACGCGCGAGCCTTGCACGAGATGACAGCTAAATGTGATTTGTGGGTGCTCCTAATTTCGATGGGGGAGAGTGTTACGGGGGGTTACACTTACCTTATATGATAGGGTGGGCCACATAAGATAATGGGACCGTACAAAGGTGTAGATTACAAAAGACGGTGTAACCATACAAATGTGTGGCTACATCGTAATAAAAAGCCACTACGTGGCGGGACCGCCAGTAGTTATGCACATTAATTAGGCTTTACTATTTAGTACGGAAAATCTAGTGATTTTAGATATCACCCGCTCTGCCTCAGAATTAAACAGATAATTTACAGTTTCGATTAGAACGGAAGTGTGCATTTATTTACCTTGATTAAAGGTTTTGGGTACTCTAGGAGGTAGCAGATTGCGATTTGCTACACTCATACTAGTTCTAGTATAGAAAGTTAGGTTGGTAACCTATGTAAGTTTCCTTTATGCAAAGAGCTACGGCAGCCCCGCAGCAACTACGGTCTATTAGTGTGATTTGTGCGCCTGTGTAAGACTGAATTTTCGGCAAACGCAATAGAAACTTGCTTTTCTCAAATCTTGCTAAAGGTCTTGAGTCTTACCTCTATCGATATACTACCAATACCTTGATCATGGATCTGCTGCAAGCTTATTACTACCGCCAAGTACCAAGAACATGAGGCATATATCGGCGTTTTGATAAGGCACTTTGATCTTGTCATTTCCATGCTTGCGGCCGCTTCACACATGACCGCGGTTATTTTAATACCTGGTTTCGCCGGATTCAAACAGGTTTACTGTGCTCCGTCTTGAGGTTTTCAAACGGATGCTTGAGAATTTTTTCTACTGCATCGAGACGGCTCCGGCTGTCGTATCTTGCTTGATTCCATTCCGAAAAAGTATTTGAGGTGGCCTATATCCGTCTTTCAAAGTCAATTACTAAGTGCTTCCTTTGTGCCTTCAAGCGTCTCGAGACTACTGCTTGCAAAAATCAAGTCGTTACCGCAAAGTGCCGACGCCTCTAGACGCGCACCGATTGCCTCGGGGCCTTGTCT